GTTATTCATTGAAAAATATTAACTCTGTTATAGTCTAATTAAAAGTGACGCTGATAAAGTTGAAAGAAATCCATTTACATGTTATGACATTATATTTAAAACATATGCATTAATTTCGTGCGTTATTAAAGCTTTACCGTTTAAAAAGTTTTAATTAGTCTTAATTAAAACGCACGTATGTCTGAAATATTTTACTTTTATAAGGATGATCGAATAAATATTATGGAAAATTATTTCATTCGATCCTCCGTATTTACATTTTTATCAGTGTACCGTATATTCTCTCTTAAGCAAGTGTAATCACCATAATTGCAGGCTTGCTCTTTCTCCGCTTAAGTTTAGCCATTGTACTTTCTACACTTACGTTTTCTTACTTTCCTTTGCGAAGCATTAGCTTATATTTATTTCCTTTTAATCAGGAAGTGGAAAAGGCTAGAGAGGAGAGAGCAGACCTTGTTAGTTTCATTTGCGACTTCATTCATAGTCATTAATTCTCTCTCTTCTGTCTCTTTCCCTTTTTAACGGACTATAATATTGTAGAATGTCAATTTTCACATTATTTAAATATCTCGAGAAGTCGTGAAATATTTCCGTCTCAACTCGAAATCTACAAAGAGACTGCAAGTGGAAATTGTATTAAACCTTGTAATCGTAATTAAAGAAGCTCCGAGTCAGAAATACGAATTAATTATATACTTTTATTTTTTGCATTTAATTATACACTTTTATTTTTTGTCTTTTATACAGCGATGACGAGTCGCACTTTCATTAATTTCACGAATGAATGCGCCCAAAAAAAGAAAGAGAAGACCAACTCAAGCCGGCGCGGCGCTTCGCCGAAATGAACAAACTGCCGATTACAGCTTTCTCCGCGCTACCTGTTTTCAGGCTCCTCGAAATTAATTTTGCAGGCGGATCATCCCTCGGGGATTATCCGCTTCTACAAGAATCCGCGCCTCTATGAGAAATTTCTTTTTCGTTTACGTGTATTCTCAAGAGAACATCTTTTCGCAACTTTCCCGCCCATTCACGCACGGAAACGAATTCTTGGCTGGTTATCGGCCGGAGAGATTATCTCTTTTTCCTTCTTATATTTCTTTCCAAGAAGCTGGCCAGATCAATTGAGGACTCGGCGTGAAAGGATTGCAACCGCCGATACTCTTGCAGCAAGCGCAATTATCTTTTGTCGAAAGTACCCTCGAAGATAAATGGATAAAGAAAATGTGAAGAATGTACTTTGTAAAAATTAGATATTCTCGAGAAAAGTAGCATTTTCCAGGACTTTTATTTCTAATTATTATTATATTTTTTATATTAAACTTTTTATGACAAGTATAAGGATAAAAAATATTTGATATTAATTTACAAAATTAATATCTTTGTGTTAATTTTAACATTTTTGCACCTCAGAAAGTTTACTATATGTTTTTAAATTAACACTTTTATTTTTTACAGTGTGAGTTATGAATTTGACGTGTAAAGCGTACAATTGATAAACTGCAGCGTTTGTTAAAAAATACATATACTGAAACACGTGTGAAGCGTGACGAGTATGACCCAGAAAACTCTGAGTGTTCGTTTTTACAGGTTAAAGTAGCATAATGTACGTATCTCGTAGACTACTATATGTATCATAACGGAATGGCGGGATAATGAAATTGAATGAGATCGGAGGCGAGTCGTTCGTTCTGCCGGCGGAGCTGTCGGGAAATGGCTCCCTTTTCATTTCTCTTGGCGATCGCGCGATACGTCCAACGCAATTCCGCCGTTTCATTTACCATTCTCAACCGCGTTCGCGCAGCTAGTCTGCTCGAAACAATTAACTGTCACGCGAGTGAACGCGCGCGGAATGAAAAGAGGCAGAAGCTGAAACGACGGGGCCTCCGCCGAAGGCGTCTGTATTATATTATCTTCCCCGTTCAACGGGCGCGTCGTTATTGTGTCGAGCAGTGTGATACTTTCGCTGTAACTGCCGCTTCGAGATGTTTGATTCGCACCGGGAGACGTGGTCCACGCGAAGGATTGTGTCACTGCTAAGATTAATTTATCAATAACTTATTGTCCAGAGTTATCGATATATATGTATATATATATATA